TCGGGCGGAAACGGCGCCGAGGCGACCGGGTGGCGGCAGCAGGGCCGGAAGGCAGGATAGCTGCTGGGGCGTGGAGGAGGTGTCGGTGTACTTCGCGGGGCTCGGGGAAGAGCGTGCGCTCTCGTGGGGCCCAGTCGGCTCGGAACCAGGTCCTGCGAGACCCACACCCCTCCCTGTCTCCGTCCATCCCTCCGTCCCTCCCTCCGTCCAGCTGGGTGCCGCGTGGGTCCCTGTCACCCCCGGGAAGACGAGTTCTTTGACAGCGACATCTGGGCGCAGGGAAAGACACGGTAGATGACGAGAGAGAGCCCTTTGTAAGTGGGTTTTTAGGCACATTAAATTGTGTGTCGAATGCCCAGGCCAAAGCTGTGGCAGGTGCCTTTCCTTTCTCTTTGCCTGCCCGTGGATGCTGCATTCTCAGTTTTTGTTGTCTTGAAAGCAGGGGTGAAATCTCAGGAAAAGGTAGGGCAGATTTGTGAACTGCTTTCAGAGGCAGCGTCTATACAAACTCTTTACCAAGGCGTCTATATCAAAGGTGTTGACCTTTGTCTCATAGTGGTTCTATCTGTAATTCTTCCAGTTAAAATTTTGGGAAATCCATCTTTCCTAAGTCACATATGATTTTCTAACTTGTAAATTTATGACTTCTTTGAAGATTTCTTGTCATTCACTGTGTCTGACCCCATCATTGCAGATAATTACTGGTGACCAGAGCTGGCATATCAGCAAAAGAGACTCGAAAGACCATTTTTTTCAATGTAAAGAGATTGACTGTATTGTAAAAATGGACGCCAACACCTAAAGATCAAGAGAATTGGAATTTGTCCTCTTTAAAAATGAAGCCAGTGCAAAGAGGGTAAGCTGTGTGCTCTATCAAGGTTTCTTGTGTATAGATTTGATTTCTACAAGAATAGGATTCCTGGATCATGATCAGATTGAGCTACAAGTGTGCTGGAGGAAGCAAAACAAATTTAAAATTTAAGAATAGTAAAATCGGATTAAATTCATATTATCCTTGCAAAAAATTACACAGCTTCTTTTGAAGAAACAGAACCAGATCTATCCTAAACTTTCTATAATTTATTTTTGAATCATCACTTTAAGTTAAAACTTTAAAACAAAAGGATTGTAAAATATCATAATTCCTGATACACATTTCATTGGTTTTTAATGAATGCAATCCTTTCTTCTTCAGAAAATATTATATATCTATGTGAGTTATTAAATAGCCACTTGAGATTATTAGATAAGTATTTCAGTTACTTTTTACATGTAGCATGTAAAAAATGTATATTTATATTAATAGATCACTATATTCTATAAATATTGTATTTAATTATTAAATTTATATTTAAAGTGTATTTTGTGTTAATTTATATTAAAATATTAAATATATTATAAATCCTAGTATTTATAACATTTATTATTTATTTATAATAAATTATAAGTATCTAGAAATCTGTTCATTTCTTCTGTGTTTTCCATTTATAATTAGGCCCTTGTTTATAGGACATAAAACTTAAAAAGAATTTTTGACCAATATCATTAGCTTTAAGTGATGCAAACTACAAACAATACTAAGCTAAGAACTGCCATTACTTTCAAGATTTAAGTTTCTAGGGCTGGGTATTTGGCTCAGTTGTTGATTCTTTCTGCTAGTTCCCGTGCTACTGAGGATTTGTTCATAAATCCTCTGGATTTCTGTTGGATCTGTTGTTACTTTACCTTTTTCATTCCTAATTGCATGGATCTAAGCTGTTTCTTTCCTTTTTTTGATAAGGTTAGCTAAGCGTGTATCAATTTTATTTATTCTTTCAAAAAACCAACTCTTCAATTCATTTATTTTTTATATCATTTTCTTAGTTTCCATTGCATTGATTGCTGCTCTAATCTTTATAATTTCCTCTCTTTTGACCTTTGGGATTTTCTAGGAGTCTAAGATTCATCGTTAGGTTATTTGAGCTCTCTCTGTTTTCCTAGTGTGGGCTTTCAATGCTATGAATTTTCCATGTAGAACTGCTTTCATTGTGTCCCATTTATTCCTGTATGTTGTATTGGCATTATCATTTATTTGTAAAAAATGTCTAATTTCTTCTTTAATTTCCTCTGTGACTCATTGATTGTTCAGAAGAGTGTTGTGTGAAGTTCTTACAGTTTCTTTCTTTCTTTTTTTTTTTTATGGTTTCTCATGCTATTGATCTCCAGGTTGATTGTACTATGATCTGATAATATATAGGGGATAACTTCGATTCCTTTGCATTTATTCAAACCTGTTCTATGAGCTAATATGTGGTCTATCTTGGAGAATGACCCATGTGTAACCGAAAAGAATGTATATTCTGATTTTGTGGGGTGGAACACTATAGATGTCTATTAAGTACATATGTTCAAAAGCTTGGTTCAGTTTTAGTATTTCATTGTTGATTTTTTGCCTAGATGATCTGTCTATTTGTGATAGTGGGGTATTTAGATCCCCCGCTACAATTGTATTAGTGCTTATTTGATTTTTCATGTTATTTAATATTTGTTTTATATAGTTGGGTGCATTAATATTTGGTGCATATATGTTTATGATTGTCATCTCTTCCTCTTGAATTGTCCCCTTCACAAGGATGCAGTTGCCTTCCTTGTCTCTCTTAATCAGTTTTGGTTTGAAATTTGCTTTGTCTGCAAATAAGATTGTTACCCCTATTTTTTTCTGGGCTCCTGTCACATGGAAAATTGTTTCCTATCCTTTCACTTTCAGTCTATGGGCTTCTTTTTGCACTAGGTGGTTTCTTGTATACAACATACTGTTGGGTTTTGCTTCTTATTCTACTTTGCCAGTCTATTTCTCTTGATTGGTGAGTTAAGGCCATTGACGTTGATGGTTATAACTGATATATACTGACTTATTATTGCCATTTTATTGGCCTTTTGTTGACTCTTTTTACTTTTTCACCTTCTCCTTTTTGTTTCTTGCCTTGCCTATTTGATTTGCTCTGTTGGGCCTCATGATGTTGTGACCTTTATTGTCTTTTTCTAGAATATTGTTTAGAATTGCTTGTAGTGCTGGTTTGGTAGTCATGTAGTTTCTCAGGTGTTCTTTGTTGTGGAAGTATCTTATTTCCCCACCCATTTTGAAAGAGAGTTTTGTATTATACATCAGTCTAGGTTGGAGGTTGTTTTCTTTTAGGACTTGAAATACCTCACTCCAGGCTCTCCTTGACCCGAGGGTTTGTGTTGAAAAGTCTGCTGTGATTCTGATGAGCTTTCCTTTGCATGTGATTTGTTTCTTTTCTCTTACTGCTTGTAGTATTTTGTTTTTCTGTTGGGTTTCTGGGATCTTGATTATTATATGTCTAGGTACAGATGTTTTTTTGTTTGTTTGTTTGTTTTTTGTACCAGGGATTGAACTTCGGTCCTTGCGCTTGCAAGGCAGGCCACCAAACCGCTGAGCTAAATCCCCATCCAGTGTTTTT